TATAGCACATGAAAATCTGGGAACCGGGCAAAATTTTAGTTTTATGGCCCTAAAACGACAAAAAAGGAGGAACGGTCACAGAGAGGTGATGACTAATATTCCTCAGTTCGTTTTTGATGGGCCGACTAAATTTAGTCGATTTGGGTTCGGACGCCCTAACCCATGCAGATGGCGTGGGCTCTAGCACATGAAAATCTAGGAATCTAACGAAATTCCAATTTTATGCCCCTAAATGCCAAAATATGAGGAGCGGTAATAGAGAGCGATGACTAATTTTCCATAGGTCGTTTTTGATGGGCCGGCAAAATTTTAGGTGATTTAATTCGGGCGTCCGGACTCATTCAGGTGGCATGGCTATAGCACACGAAAATCTTGGAAATCGGGCGAAATTCCAATTATATGGCCATAAATGCCAAAAAATGAGGAACGGTCATAGTGAGGCGGTGACTTATGTTCCTTAGGTCATTTTTGATGGACCGGCAATATTTTAGGCGATGCGAGTCTGGGCGCCCAGANTGCAGATCGTGGGCTATAGCACGCGAAAATCTGGGAATCGGGTGGAATTCCAATTTTATGGCCCTAAAATACCAAAAAATGAGGAACGGTCATGGCGAGGTGATTTTTAATTTTTCATAGGTCATTTTTTCATGGGCCAGCAAAATTTTAGGAGATTCAGGTCCGGACGCCCGGACCCATGCAGATGGCTTGGGCTATGGCACACGAAAATGGGGAAATTGGGCAGAATTCCAATTTTATGGCCCTAAAACGCCCAAAATTGAGGAACGGTCATGGCGAGGCGATGACTAATGTTCCTTACGTCATTTTTGATGGGCTGGCAAAATTTTAGGCAATTCGGGTACGGGCTCCCGGACACATGCAGATTGCATAAGCTATAGCACACGAAAATCTGGTATTTTGACGAAATTTTCGTTTAATGGCCCTAAATTGTTAAAAAAGAGAAACGGTCTTGGACATGCGATGAATAATGTTTCTTAGGTCGTTTTTGATCGGGTGGTAAAATTTTAGGTAGTTAGGGTCCAGGCGCTCGGACCTATACAAATAGCGTTGGTTATAGCACACAAAAATTTGAAAATTGGGCAGAATTTAAGTTTGTTGGCCCTAAAACGTCAAAAGACGAGGAACGGTAATGGCACAGACGATGAATAATGTTCCTTATTATGTGTGCGATAGTCCATGCCATGTGTATGACATCCTGAGATCGGCCACGAATCTCCTTAAATTTTGCGGGCTATCAAATACGACCTAATGAACAACAGTCATCATTTCACCATGACCTTTCCTCATTTTTTTGGCATTTTAGGGCTATAAAATAGGAATTCAGGACGATTCACAGATTTTTCGTGTGCTATAGTCTACGCCATCTGCATGAATTCTGGCGACTGGCCACGAATCTCCTAAAATTTTGCAGGCCCATAAAAAATGAAGTAATGAACAATAGTCACCGCTTCGCTATGACCGTTCCTCGTTTTCGGCATTTTAGAGCCATAAAATAGAAATTCAGGATGATTCCAGATTTTCGTATGCCATCTGTATGTATTCAGGTAACCGACTCTGAATCTTCTAAAATTTTGCGGGCTCATCAAAAATGACCTAATGAGCAATAGACATCGCTTTGTTAGGATTGTTCCTCGTTTTTTGGCAGTTTAGGGCCATAAAACAAAAATTCAGAATAAATCCCAGATTATCGTGAGCTATAATCCATGCCATCTACATGAATTCGGGCGTTCGGCTCCGAATCTCCTAAAATTTTGCTGGCCCATGAAAAATGACCTTATGAACAATAGTCATCGTTTCGCCATGATCATTTCTCATTTTTTGGCGTCTTAGGGACATAGGACAGGAATTAAGGACGATTCCTAGATTTTCGTGTGTTATATTCCATGTCATCTGCATGAATTCGGACGACCGGCTCCAAATCTCCTAAAAAAGTTTATGCCCATCAAAAACGACCTAATAAATAATAGTCACTGCTTGCCATGACTGTTCATCGTCTTTTGGCATATTAGGGCCATGAAATAAGTATTTAGAACGATTCTCAGATTTTCGTGTGCTAGTCCACGCCATCTGCTTGAATTCGGGCGACCGACTTAAAATCTCCTAAAATTTTGCGGGCCCATAAAAATGACTTAATGAACAATAGTCATTACTTCTCCATGACCATTCCTTATTTTCTGGCATTTTAGGGCCATAAAACAGGAATTCAGGATGATTCCTAGTTTTTCGTGGACTATAGTTCTCGCCATCTGCATGAATTCGAGTGACCAGCCCCGAATATCCTAAATTTTCGCAGGTCCATCAAAAATGACCTAATGTATAATAGTCATTTCTTTGCCATGACAGTTCCTCATTTTTTGGCATTTTAGGGCCATAAAAGAGGAATTCAGGACGATCCCCTAATTTTCATGAGCGATAGTCCATGCTATCTGCAGGGCTATGGGTGGTCGGCTCCGGATCTTTTTAAATTTTTGCGGGGCCATAAAAACGACCTAATGAACAATGGTCATCGCTTCGCCATGACTATTTCTCATTTTTTGGCATTTTAGGACCATAAAATAGGAATTCAGGATAATTCCCAGATTTTCATGAGCTATAGTCCAAGCAATCTGCATGATTTCAGGTCGTCGGCTCCGAATCTCCTAAATTTACAAACCCATAAAAATGACTTAATGAGCAATAGGCCGATTCAAAGTGACCGTTACTCATTTTTTGTCACTTTAGTGCCATAAAATAGGAATTCAGGACTATTCCCATATTTTCGTGTGCATCCACTTCATTTGCATGAACTCGGACGACCGGCTCCGAATCTCCTATAATTTTGTGGTCCCATAAAAATGACTTAATGAGCAATAGGCATCGCTTCACCGTAAAGCCGAGCAAATAAATGCGCAAGTAGCACGTAAGATGCATCAGGATGGTCAATTCATTTCAGGTCACCTGTCCTAGACGGACCCAACCCCTGTGTTGAGTCCCCTAAGTCAAATGCACATGATGCAAACAAGCGTCCTACTAGGGATCCGGGATGAGTTTTTGTTCTTCTAGGTTTAAACCCTAGGTTTATTGGTCTAGACCTGGCTTACCCGAGCGGACAACTCGAGCCGAGGGGGAGGCAGCGTGCCGGGGATACAGAAGCTCCACCGGCTTAGCAACTTATCCAAACCTCGTTCTAAATTGGAAAAGACTCTAAACAGAAGAGAAGCTACACGAAGTGCACCCTTCTCCATGATGTAGAAGACTCGGAGAGAGGAAGGGATTCGCGACGGTTTATATATACAATTTCAACAAATATCAAAGCGGTAAAACATTTAGCACATATCGCATGGAACATGTAGAAAAAGTCAGATAAAGCCAAAGATAACAATTATACTAAGCTCGAATTCTTGAACCCTGAATCAAAATTCTGGATTCGTTTCCCCAGCAGAGTCGCCAAAGCTGTCACACCTCCTTTTTACACACCTACCCCGAAGGATAATATATAAGGGAGTTTTTTCATTCAAAGTGACATTATTCGAAATGGGATTATTTATTTATTTATTTAGAGTCGCCACTTGGGATAGAATTGACTTTTGTGTCCCAAGTCACCGATTTAACTTAAATCCCAAATCGAGGAAAATTGTAGACTTCCCAATTGGAGTCTGCGAACCAGAAATTCTGAATAAGGAATTCTGTTGACCCGAGGGAAGGTATTAGGCACCCCCGGATCCCGTGGTTCTAGCACGGTCGCTTAAATTATTATAAATGACTGAAATCGAATTTTTATACATGTCATCCTATAGTGCAATTTTAGAGTTAATTAACCGCTTTAGTTAAAAAAAAAAAATTAAGAAAGTGAACGTCGTTTAAAAACGTGTTTTTGGATCACGTCACATGAAATGCACCCGTATCCTCGACACATTCTTATTCAACATTTTGGGATTGGGATTTGGGTCGCATGAAATGCACACCCGTATTTAGGAAGGTAAAATTATTAAAAAGCGCGCCTAAAGCGACTAACATGTTATTAACTTTGCGGAAGGCCATGAAAATTCGCTAAATAGCACATCCCGAGTTCTAAAGATTTTAAAGATATAATTAAAGAGGGCCACGCAATTTGTGAATTTTGTTTGGCGCGGCGCACCTCGATTTATTTTAAAAGATTGCACTCAACTTAAAGCAAACTACGGATGATCATAATTATTTGACGGAACATTATAAATATTTACAAAATTCTCATCATAAACGTACCAAAACAAACTTGGAAACTAGCAAATTAAAAGGCAATAGCTAGCAGCAATTTAGACGAACTTCCAAACATTGGTATATGAAAATCACATTACTGGATCAAAATATTGCATTTAATTCTACATTTGAAACTCATGGATTGAGATATATTCTACATTTTTAGAACCTATTAAGACTCAAAGAAATATTGGCCCCATCAGATTGTAACTGATTTCAAGTGGGCAAATCTAAATTGTTAAGTACTAGATTAGAAGATTTGATGACAGTCAGTAGTGTTAACTATATAATATGTTTGCATTATAGCCCCAATTGCCTATTTTCATGGATCTTGTCTAAAGAAGAGGTATGAAACGATAAAATAAAGTTCAACTTCCTTTTTATTTCTCTTTTCCCTTTAACGCAAACAATATCTACACAGTGAGCTCCAAATGCATATTAGCAAGACAAATCAAAATCCATGGCATGACTGATGAAACCAAACTCGTCCATTCAAGGTTTAAAGAGTACACAGGAGGAGAATAAACAAAATTTATCTACTCAGTCACGAGGGAGGCAAGAAATATCTCACGAGAAAAGCCCACAATATTGTCACATAAGCCATAAGATAGGAATAAGAGAAATCAAACAAATGATACTAACATTCACGACACGGATCTGAAAAGAACAATATTGAAATTCATATCAATTTTCATAATTCAAACCCATTTCTCAACATAAGTGTATTTACCACCAATTTGTAAACAAAAAGCTTGAAGAAATACCTGATTTCAAGAGATTAAGGAAAACAGAAAATTACTCTCCGAAACGAGCAGCAAACATCCCAGCACAGCTCGACACAGAAGGAACATTTTTAGCTCTCTCGTTTTTTTTTTTTTGTGTCCCTATGTTTCTCTCACTGCTCAGATTTGTTTTCTCTGTCCCGTTTTTTTAAGCTAGAAAATTAAATCATTATTTTTGGGGAAGGGATCGGATTAAACCAATGAATTGGAAATCTGAGGTTTACGGCATTTAGGTGGCTATTTCGCTGGGATTTAGGAGTTAAGTTTGAGCTGATTTTTGTTCTTGAGAGAGTAGGGTCTGTTGGCTACTGGAGAACAAGAATTTCAAAAAAAAAAAAAAAAAGAGAAGAACCGGAGCCCTTGGTTGCGCCGCTCTTTTCTCTGATGGTGGAGGTCTAAGATCTCCAAAAATCTCTGGTTTTTCTATCTTTTTAGGTCTTAGGGTTCTCTCCAAAATCTGATCTATTTTGGTGCCTTAGCTCCCCTTTTATGTGAGGGATTAGGGCAAAGGGTAATGGGTATTTGGGTAGGGAGATTGGGCTTTGAATTGGTTATTGAGTTTGGGCAGATTTGGGTATAGGTTTTGGGCTCAGCATTAATTTTAGCCCAATTTCACAAGACAAACTTTTCTTTTCCAATTCTTTCTTTTATTTTCTAATTTTTCTTTTTCTTTTAATTAATAACCTACAAATTAAAATCCAGAAATTATCCAAAATGTGAAATTAAACTAATTAGCTAATTACTAAAAGAGAAAAAATCAATAAAAGGAAAAAATGTAAAAATAAAGCATTTTGTGATTTTTGATTTTTATAAAACAAATAATTACTGGTTAATCCTAAAAATATAAAACTAGATCCTAAATGCAATGCGCGACATTTTTGGTATTTATTTTTTCATGATTTAAATAAAATTAAACATGCAAGAAAAAATGCAACCTGTTAATAAAATCTATAAAAATTCCTAAAATGGCAAATAATTAACAAAAATCTATTTTTCTTGGATTTTATAGGAGTATTTCGTATAGGGCAAAAATCACGTGCTTACAATGACCGTTACTCATTTTTTTGCATTTTAGTGCCATAAAACAGGAATTCAGGACTATTCCCATATTTTCGTGTGCATCCATGTCATTTGCATGAATTCGCGCGACCGGCTCCGAATCTCCTATAATTTTGTGGTCCCATAAAAAATAGCCTGACGAATAATAGTCATCGCTTAGCCATGACCATTCCTCATTTTCTGGCATTTTAGGACCATAAAATAGAAATTTAGGACAATTACTAAATTTTCATGTGCTATAGTCCACGCCATCTGAATGAATGCGGGCGAACATCCCCGAATCTGCTAAAATTTTGCGGGCCCATCGGAAATGACCTAATGAACAATACTCATTGCTTATCATGATCGTTCATTATTTTTTGGTAGTTTAAGTACATAAAACACGAATTCGGGATGATTTCTGGATTTTTTGTTCTATAGTCCATGTCATCTACATCAATTTGGACGACCGGCCCTGGATTTCTTAAAATTTTGCGGGCCCATAAAAAATGACCTAATGAACAATAGTCATCGCTTCGCCATGACCGTTGCTCATTTTTTGGCATTTTAGGATCATAAAACAGGGATTCAAGATGATTCCTAGATTTATGTATGCTATAGTCCACGCCATCTACATGAATTCGGGCGACCGGCTCCGAATCTCCAAAAACTTTGCAAGCCCATCTAAAATGACGTAATGAACAATAGTCATTGCTTCGCGATTACCGTTCCTTATTTTTTGGTATTTTAGGGCCATAAAATAGGAATTCAGGACGATTCCAGTTGTCGTGTGCTAATAGTCTACGCCATCTGCATGAATTCGGGCGATCGACCCCGGATCTCCTAACCTTTTACGGGCCCATAAAAAACTGTCGAATGAACAATAATCATCGCTTCGTCATGACCGTTCCTCATTTTTTGGTATTTTAGGGCAATAAAATAGGAATTTAGGACGATTCCCACATTTCATGTGTTATATAGTGTACACCATTTGCATGAATAAAGACTACCAGCTCCGAATCTCCTATAATTTTGCGGGCCCATAAAAATGACCTAATGAACAATAGTTATCGCTTTGTCATGACCGTTCCTCATTTTTGGCGTTTTAGGACCATAAAACAGGAAGTCGGGACGATTCTCATATTTTTGTGTGCTATAGCCTACGCCATCTGTATGAATACGGGCGACCGGCCCCGAATCTCCTGAAATTTTGCAGGCCCGTCAAAAACGACCTTATGAACAATAATCATCGCTTCGCTATGACGTTCTTCATTTTTTTGCGTTTTAGGGGCATAAAACAGAAATTCAGGATGATTCCGAGATTTTCGTATGCTATAGTTTGAAACTTTACAGGTCCATAGGAAATTCCCTTGTGACCAATATTCATTATTTCGTGATGATTTCGGGTTCATTTTATGTCATTTTGTGGTCATGCAATATAAATTATTGATTATATTCACTTTTTCGTATGTATTAGTACATGCTGATTTTGTAGAATTTTTTTGACAGATTCCGATTTGCCTGAATTTTCGTAGGTCCATATGAAATGGCCTAGTAACCAATATGCATCGCTTCGCCATAACTTTCGGGTTCAATTTTTTAATGTTTCGGGGTCATACAACACAAATTTGCAACTATATCCACTTTTTCATTTGTATTAGTACATGCTGATTTTGTAGAATTTTTTAACGGTCTCTAATTGCCCTGAACTTTTGTAGGTCCATAAAAACGGCCTAGTGACTAATACTCAGTACTTCACCATGACTTTCGGATTTATTTTACGGCGTTTGGAGGTCATGCAATACGAACTTATGATTATATTCATTATTTCATGTGTAGTATATGATTATTTTGTGGAATTTTATTGACGGACTCTGATTAGCCTGAAATTTTGTAGGTCCATAGGAAAAGGCCTATTGACCAATACTCATCGTTCGCCGTGATTTTCGGATTTATTTTTTAGTGTATTGTGTTCATGCAACACGATTTTGTGATTTAATATACTTTTCCGTGTATATTAGTACATGCTAATTTTGTAAAAGAAATTGAAAGACTCTGATTGGCCTGAATTTTTGTAGGTACATGCTGATTTTGTAGAATATTTTGACGGACTCTGATTGCCCTAAATTTTCGTAGATCCATAAAAAATGGCCTAGTGACCAATACACATGGCTTCATCATGACTTTTGAGTTTATTTTATGGCTTTTTGAGGTCGTGCAACACGAATTTATGATATTTTTCGTGTGTATAAGCATATGCTAATTTTATGGAATTTCATTGACGGACTCCGATTGACCTGAAATTTTGTAAGTCCGTACGAAACGGGCCTAATGACCAATACTCATCGCTTCGCCATGACTTTCGTGTTCATTTTTTGGTGTGTTGGGTTCATGCAACTCGATTTTGTGATTTTATCCACTTTTTGTGTGTATTAATACATGCTAATTATGTAAAATTTCTTTGACGAACTCTGTATAGGATATATATCAAGGAAGTCACTTCTTTGAAAAGCGACATACAAATATTGAATGAAGAACTGTAAGATTCTGTTTATTTAGGAAGAATAATGTAATCTTTGTCTACTAAATTGACTTGTTTGGTCTGAAAATTGAAAGGATGAGATAAAAAGGACATTAAATTTGCTACTAGTAAAGTTGGAAGGAGAAGATATGAGAAATATGATTATAGCAATGCAGGATAAGGTAGATTTTTGTTTGAAGCTAGATGGCTCTTCTCCAGTGTAGATCTTTATTACTATCCGTTGTTTCATTTGCTCCAGCCTTCTTATTATATTGTTGTTGTTGGTACTGCTTCCTCACTATGATTTCTCCACTACTGTATTTCTTTTCAATAATATTGTGATTTAGCTTTTTCTTGAGCCGACGGTCTATCAGAAACAATTTGTTTATTTTCACAAGGTAGGGGTAAGGCTACGTACACACTACTCTCCCCAGATTCCCTTTTCCTAAGCCGAGGGTCTATCGAAAACAGTCTATCTAACTTCATAAGGTAAGGGTAAGGTTGCGTATACACTACCCTCCCCTACTCCACTTGTAGGATCACGGGTTTTTTGTTGTTGTTGTGTTTATTCAACTGAACATGGATATAGTGGACGACAGAGGCGAACTTATGCAATAGGTAGATGGGTCACGGACACCCGTAATGATCGCCAAAAATTTCGTGTATACATATATGTCTTTAGAAAATAGTGGATACCCTATATACAAAGCAGATTTTGGTTGAATCAAAAAGTGCACCCGGAACCTTCAAATCCTGGGTCCGCCTTTGGTGGAAGATGATGAAGTATAGCAGGTATAGTAGGAACCAGGGGCGGATTTAGGGGGCAGAAGGGGGTTCACCCGAACCCCCTTCGCCGAAAAATTACACTGTATATACAAGGCAAAATCTGTTTTTTACCTCTATATATTAAGTTTTGAACCCCCTTAAGACAACTTAAAAGTGTAGTTTAGTTGTCAAGGGGGTTCAAAACCTTCACAAGGTCATAGGTTCAATTCCCACTAATTGCAAAAATAATTTTTGAACCCCCTTCGTGGAGATTCTGCCTCCGCCACTGGTAGGAACGTATCTGAACTCTGATAGCAGGAATGGTTTTGAGCCTTTTATTGTATGTCCTCTGCCTCCGCCACTGGTAGGAACGTATCTGAACTCTGATAGCAGGAATGGTTTTGAGCCTTTTATTGTATGTCCTCTGTTCTTATGAGGTTCCTATCATTGCTGCTGTTGTAATTCCTTACATTCCTTCTATATAGATTTTCAAATCCAAAGAAAAGAAATAAATATATTTGCCATGAAAATAGAAATCCTCTCACTTTTCTTATTATATATCATAGTACTGAACTTTATTTTGAAAAACTGTTGGGGTCACTCATTCTGTCATTGACTAATCTGAAGAGGATAATTTTAAAGAATAGATGATGGATGGGAGCCTTGAAGCAACGGTAAAGTTGTCTCCGTGTGACTTATAGGTTACGGGTTCGAGACATGGAATCAGCCACTAATGCTTGCATTAGGGTAGGTTGTCTACATCATTACCCTTGGGGTGCGGCCCTTCCCTGGATCCTGCATGAACGCGAGATGCCTTGTGCAACCGACTGTCCTTTTTTTAGATGATGAAAAGAAAGTAGTAAAGACTTGTTCAACAATGTCATTAAGGGAATGAATGTTCATGGGATCATTCAAGATCTCTGATCTTTATTGCCTTTAAAATACAAGAGTTTCCAATACAAGACAGAATTTCTATATCTCATTTTAATTGCAAAATGTGTAAAATCTTATTTGTAGGATTCAAGTTGTATTCTATCAGTATACCCCGGTAAGACCCCAGAAAAAATAGGGGTAGCTAAACCAGCTTGGCATTATCAACTCATTTCCTCATGGTTAAACT